CAGACCAACCCCAAAACCCCAAAACCCCAAAACCCCAAAACCCCAAAACCCCTCTATTTTATTAATATCTTGAAGAAAAGTTATATAATTACTTTTAACAATGTCAATATTTGGAGGACCAAATAGAGGAGGGGGAGGAGCACCCGCACTTGATGCAATGGGTAATAGAATGACTCAGAGAGGGCAAAGGCCAGACACATCTTACTCAAGAGCCTTCGGAGGAGGCTCAGATGGGTATATTCAAGCACCAGTTATGCAACCTGCTGGAAATCAAATATTGTTTCCTAGCATTACAACTGCTCCTCTTGTTCAGACACAGACAGTATAAATGCCGATGGAAAGCCTCAGACTAAGGCTGTTATTGTTCCTTCAACACAGTCTTTGATTCCTCCACCGAGTACTTTGCTGACTTCGTCATATGCAAATCTCTCTGCAGGAGGACCTCCGTTGATGGGAGGAGGATCCCCAGCAATGCTGGGGATGTCCCAGACTCCGATCCATCGATCGCAGTACCTTCGCGGAGGAGGTTCTGGCGTTATCGGAGCTGGCGATGGCTCCAATGAAGATTTTGAAAAAATGAAGAAAGCCAGGCTTCGTAATGACCTGCTCAACCAGATGAACGACAACATGGGTCGGAGGCTTGATGAACGACGGAAGAAAAATTGGGAAGATGAATATGATGATGCCAGAATCTGGCATGATAATATGGAACAACAGAAGAGATACGACCATGAAGAATGGAAAAGGAAGAAATATTTAGTCAAAGATGGTCATCTTCCTGGACCAGGTGGCTGGGACCCATATTCGAGGTACGGGAGGCATCGTGGGCGATATGGAGCCCCGCCACCTAGTTCTAGGAGAAGTGGCAAGAGAGATGGTAATGATGATTATGGATGGTGGTATGGAGGTCCAAAAGCTTCTAGGAGTAGTAGGTATCGAAGAGGAAGGTATTATCAAGACTGGAACGAGCCACCTCCTCTCCCATGGATGGAGAACAACAACCAAGTTCATGTAAATTCTGGAGGCAAGAAGCCTCCAGAATCTGACACTGATCCTGTCGCATTCTACAAAGGTGATATGAAAAGCTGGTGGGATAAGTTCGTGCCTGCTAATGTTGCGTCTAAAATCTCAACAATGGTGAATGACCAACTCCTCTCAATGCAGAAGAAGCTTGACAACCAAGAGCTCTCGATCCAGAAGGAGATCACTAAACTTAAAACAGATGCCAATAATTCTGATAATGAACGGTTAAAGGTGCTTAATCAGCTAAGGAATTGTAAGAAGAAGCTGACTGATCAGCAGTTACAAGAGGACCTCAGGCATAATTACATTTACCATATTCTGTTCAATAATTGGAAAATGAGGGAAAAGATGATGGATAAGGACCTGGATGCACTCCCATCAAGGCAGCTATTCCCCCAGCTTAAGAATAATTATGCTACTTTGGGAGAGAAAATTAACTGGGGAGAACTTGCATATGATTCTAAAAAGTTAGTATCGCACATAGATCCTGTTTCAAACGAATATTTGAAGTTCCCTTCTGTTGATGATATCGCGAAACAAGACATTGAGGTTAATTTCTTTGATGTTGAAAGGATAAATGCTGCTAACCATAACCGGCTAGAAGACCTGAAAGGAATGAAACATTCTGTATCAGAGCCTCAACTTGATTCTCTTGATAAGAAGCTGTATGACTTTTTAGACAAAGAGAGCACTTTTAAGAAAATTAATCTCCGTGGGGATCTCCCAGGTGATGATGTGAATGATATTGATCCGATGGTCCTTAAGGACATCAAATTTTAGCACATAGGCTTACAAATATTTCTCTAATTCAATCTAAATACCCTGTTTGGGGTTTTGGGGTTTTGGGGTTTTGGGGTTTTGGGG